TATACTTGTGAGCGTCGCCCACTGAGCGTCGCGTTTATTATGTCTTTTATAATTGTTTTTTTTTCGTATTTCAGGAAGGCTACAACGATAACAATTTTGAGGATTTTGAGGATCCTAATGATATTGTAAATAGTTTTGATGACTTTTGTAAGTGTTTTAAAAAGTATATTGAATCCATTCCTTGGGCTAACACTAACGCAGATTTATGTTTTAATCACATCACTTTGGATAGTATTTATTAAAATGATATACTTGCTTGTATTAAACAACTAACTAATGAAATGACAACAGGTGTGGATAACATACCCAGCTTTCTTGTAAAGGATTGTGTGGTTGCATCACAAACAATTGACCTATTTCTATACTTTGCAACTTTGCTAAAATATTTGAAATAACAATTTACTGCAAATTGTATTGTCCACTAAAAATGTTTATTTCTCTATTTCAACATGGTTTGGTTCAAAAAATCTACAATATATATAATTTAGCCCCATTCACACAATATTCCTGTAAAGCAGTTGATTATGGATCTCAACTCGACGTAATTTATATCGACTACCAGAAAGCTTTTGATCAAATTGATTACTATATTTTATTAGTAAAACTAAGACGCTTTGGTTTAGATAGTAATTTAATACAATTTTTTTACTCAATTTGGCAGCTATGTAGAAAACAATTTGTATCGGATAACAACTTCAACTCGCAACACTTTAAATCCATATAGTTATCGTATTAAAAGTATTAATTTTGACAAACTCGCTAGATATATATATATATATATATATTAATTAATATTCTGCAAGCATTTCTCTTATCACCGCTTTTGTTTAATTTCGTTGCTTTCGTGCTTTACGCCATCTATGTCCCGTACTCATAATGTCATGACATATAGAAGACCGCGTTGAAAAACGATAGATGGCACCATTGTGCAAGCAAATTCTCTTCTCACCGCTTTTGAACTATTCCTTTCCAATATAAGGAAGGGAATTAAAGTTTTCGTTTGGGTCTCGAGCCTAGACCACACCAATAGATAATCTACTCTAATGGATGGCCTTGTATCATAATATAGTTTCTTCATTTTAGACGGCGCTGTGGTCAATGACGATGTAGCAACCCCGCAACTAATAAACAGCTTTAACCTTTTTAATTAATTCATAAACAGCTGTCACTCATCAGTAAAATATTATATTAATCATATATGCTCTGTTTTTAATGTCTGTCAAACAAGTGTCTTAAATATAAGTTGGTTTAATAAACTTGAACGTGTGTTAAATTAGTGCTTAATTCCAATATTATTATATTTTTATATTATTTTTATATTTTATTTTATTTTTTACATCTTGAAAGGTAAGTATGTTTTTTATTCTTGTTTAATTCTTGTTTTAAAACTTTGTTATTACAGATGGTTGCTATATATTGTGCTGTTGAAAGTTGTTGGGGATCTAAGGAATCTAAACATTCCTTTCCAAATCCTTCAAAGAACATCGACTTGTTTAATAAATGGGTTAAGTTATGTGCCAATAAAAGACTTCTTGAGATGACACCTCAAAAATTTTTTACAAACTGCAGAGTGTGTTCAAAGAATTTTATTCAGGAGGACTTTTACGTAATAAAAGACTTGGTCGTCTGGCTTACTCAACATTATTATTACCAGGTATAGCTTGGTTTCATTAAAATTAGTATGTAATTTTGCAGTGGTGTTTTCTGCATGAAAATCTATATATTTTTAAATATAAGTTAATATTATTATTATTATTATTATTATTTTTATTGCCTGCTTTTGTCTGTCAGAACTAAATACCAAAGTAAATTTGTTTAATTTTATAAAACAAATAAATAATATTTTAAATTCAAAAGACAGTAGAAAGTTAAATAAAAAAGCTCCAGAGCTCTTTCATAAAGCCAGGGCACTGGCTTTAAAAAAACATTTTAAAAAGAGAATACAATACTAAAAAATTTAAAGTATATTTGTTTAATTTTATTAAACAAATTAATAATATAAAATTCTCATGACAGACAGGAAACTGGCTTTAAAAATATTTTCAAGTTAATCAATTTTGACCAATGCAAGTTATTTTAATGTATATATAGTGAAACGCATCTACTTTTTCATTTAATTGTTATGTTTTTTATGTTCAATATTTATGTAAATCAAAATAGGATTTTATTATATAATTATGTTTTGTACGGTTTAATTGAGGAGCTTTTAATCAAAATCAAATTTGTCCACTTCTGGCAAATAATTATTACTACTTAAGTAGTGATCATTGTAGAGGAGGATCATTCACACATACATATAACCACTTTAAAAGTGGTCAAAGACCATTATTTTAAATGGGACTTAAAAATAATCATCTTAAATGAAATTTGGTCATAACCAAACATGTTTGTTCTCTAAATTCAATTCTACAAATTCTAAAAGGTTTCTGAATACAGTGGCTTACTGCCTATAGGCATGTTAGAAAAACTAACAGGATGTCTTATATAACAACAATTTAATGTATTTTTATGTTTTTACGCTCCCCTGAAAATTTGATCAAATGGATAAATTTGTTTTTGACCACTCACTCCTGAATTATTTATTTTATGTTTATTATTTGTATGGCCTAAGATAGTATTTTACTGTTTATGTAATATTTATATTGAAAAATATATGTTAAAATATTTTAATTATTTCATTTATGACCTAACAATGATTATATTTAAATATAAATGTATTTTAAGAGCCATTTTACAATTTGGAAAAAAAGCAATGTAAAGCCTTGTTCAGTGCAAGAACCAGTTAACTATTTTAAAATGTAAAACATTTTAGTGGAAATTGAGTTATCTAGTTCTTGCACTGTACTCTGCCAATTACAAAATAATATATATTTTTAAATATTGGCGGGCGATTTTGGCAACGTTGCATTTTAATTACTTCAATTTTAATAGATGGCGCTTTATTGCATCAAAACGTTTTCAGGTAGTTACGTATCTATTGGTGTGGTCTAGGGTCTCGAGCCTATAGCAACTCGGCACTGATGAGTTCCACAGAACGAAACGCGTCTGTCGATGCTGGCATGAGATCCTGAACGAAATTAAACAAAAGCGGTGATAAGAGAAATGCTTGCAGAATATTAATTAATACTTTAAATCCAGTTCTGGCGTCCCGCAAGGATTAAAATTGGGCCCCTTGTTAATTTTAATATTTATAAATGATAACCCCCAACATTAATATGCAAGAAGCTACTACTGCGCACCACTCAATGGGTCGCGACCAAAAAGTTCGCCCTTTTTCAAAAGGACATATGCTAGCCCCATCCTCTGGCAATTCATGCTACGGTTCTTCAAGTAAATTTCGTACAGGGTGATATGTAAAACGGTGAAAAATTTCAATAAGTTCATCCAAGCCCTGTTTGAAAAAAAAATATTTTTTCTCGTTTTTACTTTGAAATAATGAAGTATTATGTCTTACCTTGAAAACGTTTTCAAGGGTTTTTGGTAGGCAATACACTTTTTAAGAACAAGATAAAATGGTGAAAGATTGTTCCTTGAATAATTTTGAACAAGCGACAAGCAACAAAGTTTCATTATTTTCAGAGGGGCCTAAGCAAAGACCACTTTTTCAAAATGACATTTTGGTGAAAATTTGCGAAAACTAAACCTGAACCGGGAGCCGGGAATTGTTTTAGAATATTAATTCTTGGTGATTTTGGTTTTATCTGAAACTTAAATTTGACAACTCAATCACAATCAGAAGGTCAAAATTATGAAAAAAATAGGTCACGAACGTAAATATCGGTTTAGGTTTAGTTTTCTCAAATTTTCACCAAAATGTTATTTTGAAAAAGTGGTCTTTAAAAATAATGGAAGTTAAAAAAAAACTGAGTATATTTCCTTTAAAAAAAATCCTTAAATGTACTCTTTTGGAAAAAAAATCATATTTTCGTTGCCAAGATTCCAATTCGAAAAATTTGAAAAATGTTTCAAGGTAAGACATAATACTTCATTATTTTAAAGTAAAAACGAGAAAAAAATTATTTTTTTACAAACGGGGCTTGGATGAAGTTATTGAAATTTTTCACCGTTTAACATATCACCCTGTAGGAAATTTACTTGAAGGACCGTGAGCTTTATAACTATAGCATGAATTGCCAGAGGATGAGGCTAGCAGACAACATAGACCAACATAAAATAGTTAATGAAACAAAAAAGTTATGTCGTTTTGAAAAAGAACGAACTTTTTGGTCGCAACACATTGAGTGGTGCGCAGTTTATATGCTGATGACCTTAAAATATTTTTCCGAATTGATCATGAAAATGACTGCTTCAACCTTCAAAAATATCTTAAGGATTTAACTCAATGGTGTAAAAATAGCCTAACTTTAAATATATCTAAATGTAAAATAATGATATGCACCAAAAAAACCAAGACCAATTATTTTTAGTAATACGGTCGACTTGAAGTAAGTTGTTTTGTTCAAAGATTTGGGAGAATAAGAAAAATAATGAGGCCAAAATCCTTATTAAAAAAAAACTTATCTTCGTAGATACGTTGTTTTAACCAGAATTTAGTTCACAACTTCTGAATTCCTGTAAAACTTGTAGATACGGTAAAGTTAGTATAGATATCCATTTTTTTCTCCAAAATCGTTGAATTTTCTTAAATTAAAGTCAATATCTCGATCAGTAATAACATTTTTATATACATTTTTGCAGTCAAACGCATCTTTTTGTGACGAATCCAACGATATAAAAACTCGAATAAAAAAATCTAGATACCCATTTTCGGCAGTATATTTATAGTATTCATAAATAGTAAATTAAATTAAAGACTATTTTATTGTAAACCATATAATTTAATAAAAAGTATTAAATTATCTTTTTTTTAAGTGCATGCAAACTTACGTCAACATTTTTTGGAGGTGGTATATAGTTTCTGGCCTCGGTAGCAAAACAAATGTATATCTAATTAATTAAATTGGGCAACTCGAGCCCAAACAAATATAACTAATAATTACCTTAGTCGCTTGCATCAGTTGTATCCAGTGTCTGTCTCTGATGGCGGGATTCTGCAACTCCGTAATGGCTCTTAGCGATGTCAGCATGTTCTTGATTGCCCCTTCAAGGTTAATGTACACATCAAATTCTTTCACATCTTTATCCATTTGGCGGATTTCTTTGCCGAACTTCTTGCATTCCATTTCCATTGCTTCAACGTCTATTTTCTTCCATAAAGTGGTTTTCCACTCGTCTATATTAGAACGGACCATGTTTACGTAATCCCACAACTGTTTTATTTGTTTGATTTCTTTGCGAACGTATTTAAGTTGTTTAAATTCTTGTAGAACCAAGTCAAACAGGTTGGCTTGTTCTTGAATCTTTTCGCGCTCCTCTTCTAAACCGGTGATTTCTCTATTTGTTTTGTCTAACAATTTGTAAACGTTTTTGCATTTCCAATTGTAAAAGTCCAACTTTTCAAACATATCTTTGTACATTGTTTGCCTAATTTCAAACAAACTGATTCTTCTTTTAATCGCGTTCACTTGCATTGCTTGTAAAGGCGCAACAGCTTGTTTAGTAGTTGCAGCCACCTTTTTGCAATACTGCCACTTATCCGGCATTTCCTGCAACTGCACAAATATTTCCTCCGGGAAATACATGTTGTACTCCTTGAGTAGGTTAATAATATCCATCAAAGGTTCAAACATTTCGTCGGTAGCCACCTGTCTTTCTCTCACTTTATACAAATAGCCCATAACTTTCAAAAGACCATCGTAGTCATCTTCTGTTAGAGTTACTTGCATTGCTGCAACTGCTTCGTTTATAAAATCATCCAGTTCTTTTAAGCTGTCTATCACGTGGTTATACAAATGCTGTTTAAAGAGATTTCCCCATTTGCACACGCAATTTAGAATTGCTTGCCTCAAAGGCTTGTAGTCGATTCTCAACCAACCATCATCCAAAACCCTATCCAACCTAATCAATTCCACTTTCTTGTACAAGTCTTCGTAATAATCGATTTTCTCCTTGAACTGCGTAATGGTCGGCGGAGTTTCTTTGACATTGGCCGCTTGATCTTCGTCCTTTAACATTTCCAATTCCTCCTCGGTTAATTCTCTGGAGTACAGCAGAAATTGTCGCAGATATTCTTGCCGATCATCGTACCACAGTATCCGATACTCGTCGAACTCCCTGAGCAATTTAAGCGCTTCCTCCATCGATTTTGAAGCTCGATCCAAAATGTCTCTATATTTGTTGAGATTGACGTCGTACTCTTCGATCAGTTCCAAGAAGTTTTCGGATTTGTCTCGAATACGCGATATGTATGAAGACTGCGCATACATATCGCCCATCAGGCTTTGGAGTAATGTGTATAAACTTGGGGTATCTTCGACGTTTGCAGACGGTATAAAAACTATATGGGGTTCGTGTAATTCCAATTGCAATTCCATGAATGGAGTAACCGGTTCGGTGTCCCCCATTTCGTTTTGAAATTCAGTCAGACTTACGTTTATCGCTTTGTTTAGGTAGGTGATAATTTCTTCCTCCAAGTAATCCAAATAATCTTCCCAGCGTTGAATTCTTAATTCTCTTTTTCGTTGTTCTTCTTCTTGCCTGGCGAATTCTTCAGCCTCTTGCTCCACTTCTTCTGGCGTTTTTTCTTCTTCCTTTTTTTTCTTCTTTTCTTTTTCTTTCTTTCCTTTTGCCTTTTCTTTTTTTTCCTTTTTACCGCCTTTTTCTTCCTGTCCTTTTTTACCACCCTTCTTTTTTTTCTTTTCTTCCTCTGGTGGCGGCACCTCTTCCTCTTCTTCCTCCTCCTCCTCGGAATCTTCTTGTATATTTAAAAGTAAAACGTAGTTTTCCACCGCGACTTTTTGCATCTCCGCCGATGCTATCAAAAGCAGTTCTTTTCTAGCGTGAAATCGTTCGTATCTGTCGTCTAAACTTAACAAGTTTTCCTTGTTTTGATCTTTTCTCTCGTATAGCGGAAGCGAAGCCCAATTGTCCATGCGAGTTACAACACCTTCGACCAGGTCTTGAGCCTGCTTCACTCGATCCATCAGTTGCTTTACTGTTTCGTAAAATACGTCGACCTTTGTATTATCTAAAACAACGTTATTGAAATAAACAAAAAATAAAGTATATCATACATCACCATTTGTTTCCCAGGTTAGCACTTCAAGCGCTTCGCTAAGCAAACGATCGATAGATTCAATTTCATCTTCAATCAAGTTGTATTCCACATCCAAAGTATCTATTTTCATGTAATTGTACCATTCAGCAATTCGTTTATACTTCATTCTTGAATACAACAACTCTTCGTATCGGCTAAACAAACTTTCAGCCTCTTCTGGCAAAGGTGGAAGATCCAAATGTTTCAAGTACTTTACCTCTCTCAAAGCACAAATAAGCTCTCTGTCAAAGTTAACAATTAACGTGCCATTTGGGCCTCTTTTTAGCTGAAGTTTGCTCATTCCAGCTTGGATTATGTCCGGAATCTTTGAAAACCACTCGTTGAAAATCTGATCGCGGGCTGTGTACAATATGTCCATCATTTCATCGTACTTCCCAACAATGTATTTGGCATAATCAGAATTTATTATTTCCAATTCCAAAGCCTTGAAATCTTCGCCGGGTTTACCAATCCGTCTTGCCAATTTATCCAGCCACAGCAAACTGCCAGCAACAGGTGGATAATACTTGTCGATCACTATACCGCCATCGTAGATTTTCTTTACGTTATTTAATTCGTTGTTAAATAGTTCCAAAATGCCTATGTATTGTTGGCCCAATTGGGCGACGATTAGTGGACGTTCAGCCAACGTCCCTAAAACCACGAGCAGTCTAAATACCTGGTCCAAATTGTAGCAATCCTTGAAAGCGGCCACAAAAATAGCGCACAGCCTATTATCGTAGTCTTCGATGTCAGCAAAAAACTTTTCGACATCTTTAACAAAGTCGTTTTCCTCGGTGTTCATAATTTCGTATTGAATATTGCTGAACGCTTGGTAACTCTTTTGAAACTCTTCCAGGACGGTTTCGCATTTTTGCGACAAATATCTGCCTCCCACTCCGCCCAGTTCAACTTTTTCCAGCTTCATGTACTCCAGTTGAGTTTTCAAAACGGTACTGATAAGTTTTAAGCGATCCTTATAGTCGATCAGCCTTTGAAACACCGTTCTCCTATGAAAGTTCCAACCTTTCGGCTCAAAGGTTTCTTCTTGTTCTAGCTCCTCCTCCTCCTCTTCTACTGTAGGATCAACCCCTTTTGCTGGAGGAGAAGGAGGTGGGGGTGCTGGTTCCTCATCGCCTTCCTCTTTCTCAGGAAAATAACTTAAAAGGTTGTTTCTAACGATTTCAAAATTAGCCAAGAAATGCTCAAAAATATCAATGGCTTTAAAAACTTTTTCAAGTGATTCGTCGGATTCTCCTTGAAACAAAGAATCCGGATCCAGTGTTCGGTTGCACGCCTCGATCAACATGTTCGCAACCATTTTCAACATAACCGCCATGCGTTCGCTGCTGCAGTAGTATCTTGAATTGCCCCAAATCATACCCAACACGTGCAGCAATGGCTTTATATTGTGCTTGTTGTCCAGAAAATCTTCATCAAATTTATGAATCATTGGTTCCAATGGAAGAAAGTACAAACAAATATCTCTGGCTTCAACGTACGCAGCTACAACGTTCTTATACATTGTGGTGTATGAATTCGTGTACACGCTTTTTGTGATTTGTAAGTACTCGGCCATTTTCTTCACCCTAGGATCACGTAGCTGATCGTAAATTGAGTCCAAGTTACTTTTCCGGTGGTTCCAAAAATCCATCTCTACGCGAGGAGTTGGTTTAGCGTTGTTTGCAAAGGCCAAATCAGGCGATTGATTTAGCACGTCGTTGATTATGTTCAGCCATTTTGATGTCGAATTTTCGAAGGAGGATTTCAACACCAAATCCAGGTTTTCTTCTTCCGCCAAATAATCATCTACGGCTCCGAAAACACGACCAATATCCGGCGGCATTGTTAAGACCGTTTGGCTTTTCATGGCACCTCGAATCTTCAACGAAGAAAATGATTATTATAAAAAAATATTTCATTCAAAATTTTAGGTGGGTGAAGCATTATATGTTTTTCCTTATTAATATAGTTCCAATTACAATGTGCAGCAATACAAGCATCATCAAAAATTACCTGGATGCGGCCTTATCCCTAAATAAGTGACTTATTTGCGTAAAATACATATATTTTAAATGGAATGGTGATGTATTAATAGAATTATATGAAAAACTACCCCAAAAAACTTCAATTATATTATAAAATAGTAACATAAATTGCAAAAAATGCATTTTCTTGACATTTTACATCGTTTTGTATATATTTATACACAAATTTAAATTAAAAAAATATATATTTTAATTAAAATAAAAAAACATTTAAAAAATTATAAGATTTTAGCCCTCCTGCATTTCCTGACAATTTCACTATCATGATCAGGGTGGAAGAGAAAGGTGATATAGCTCCTATCTCTACAGTACAGAAGCAAGCGAAGTTAATCAATGCAATTTTACTAAAAAAGGGAAAAGTTTGTTATGCACCGGGATTAAAACAGGTTCCACTTTAATGCGCCATCTATTCAGACTTCTAACAAATACTGAGTTATTTGGCCGCGTTCCGGGATAGAGATGTATCACCTCCTTCTTCCACCCTGATCATAAGCATCATTATCCTCGTCATCATCATAATCTAAAATGATAATACTAGAGATAATGTAGGCTATCATTCACGCGGATGAGGTTTGCGTCTCAAGTCGCCAGTGAGTGACCCAAATCATCCAATAAGTAGATAATTAAATTATTTTAACCTTACTTTTTACCAATTTTAAATGTTATTATCATAGAGAGTTTGTTTCTCTATGGTAATTATACTGCCGTGCTTAATGAAAACGCCGTAACCAACAATTTTGCGATTTTTGGTTTACGGCATTTTCTACTAGAACAATTCATCCTGCGTCTATCCCCGGTACTCAAAAAACCGTATCTATATATATACGGTTTTTTGAGTACCGGGGATAGACGCAGGATGAATTGTTCTAGTAGAAAATGCCGTAAAACAAAAATCGCAAAATTGTTGGTTACGGCGTTTTCATTAAGCACGGCAGTATAGGAAGTCGCCTTCTCCCAATTTAAAACCAAATTCAAATCACAGTGAATATTGAAATCGGCCATATTGAAGGCAGGGAATTTATAATGTTTATCATTATTTACAAAAAAACAATACTATGCAATACTAGTATATTATAAATCAAGTTTGATAATAGTATATTATGTATCAACTTGATAAATGCTATTTTATACACGAATTTAATTTAAATTAAAGAGTGTATAGAGAAGTTTATAAACGAGGTGCATACTATACTTTTTCTACGACAAATACTTATTATTATCTTAAAATGATTTAAATCAAAATTTGTTATAGTGCGCCATCTATGAAAAACTAAGGGAATCTGTGTGTCAAATTTTTATATTTTATAAACACAGATTATACACTTCGCGTCAAATTTAACGCACCACTAAAAATTTTCCACAATTTCAAAGTTGATTTTCTCGCGAACCGTCAAACCGAATTTGATAATTTTTTTATTAAATTGTAGGTTTATTCTTCTGTAATAATAGGTTTATTGAAATATTCTTTTAAATTTACATTTTGAGTATATATTTGAAACGCCCTGTGGGTTCATATAAGGGCAATTCCATGATGACTCGCGGGACAATTAGAAAAACATCAATTTTTAAAATATCAATTTTTACCATAGGCATAGTAGGTCTCATGTGATTTATTGATATTCTACTATGGCAATGGTTTCTCTGCTATTAGTACTTGCTCTTTTTAAAAAAGGCAAAACCTAATAAATAAAGTTTTTGAAAAATCTATGCTTACTCGCGGGACATCAAATATTTTAAAAAATATATGCAAGTTTTAATTATCTTTTTTCTCTAAATTTTATAGATATTTAAAAAAATTAATATTACTATAAACTTACCTACTCTTAGTTGAAATTTATAAGGCCATAACTAAGATGCCAAAATGCTTGAAATTCTGTATATATAACCAATAGTGATTACTCGCGGGACATTACTCGCGGGACAATGCGATTTCAGTAAACAAATATTTATTTCAGCTATTTAAATAAACAATTAACACTAAGGAATTACATAGAAAAACACAAAACAACTCTTGATTCGTTTGAATTAAATACATTTTTAACTCCTACATGATAATTATCCAAAAATCGAAAGTTGTGGCAGCTTGTTATGTTGGGAATTGCTTTTACCAAGTTCCACTTATCATCTAAAGTTTTTTTTGCTGCTTCAATCTCTTCTGTTTCTACATAAATGACGTTTATCTTATCCAGTTTTTGAGCACATTGGTAAAAGTCTTTCGCATTAGTAATTAAAGACTTTCGACTTTTTATTTCCATCCAGACCTAAAATATGAAGTGTTGTTACAATTTTATTCCTTGAAAACATAGTTTTGAATGAACAGATTGCTGAAGCTAAAAGTTCAAACTAATAGTTATATGCAATTATAAACTTTTATAAATACCTTTCTCTTTACTGTGGCCCCTATACCATCCACAGCACCCTTTCCGTGTGATGACGCGAAAAAATTCCATTCCATTGCTCTTAAATTCATTTCTGCTGGTAAGAAGCACAATGAAGACATCGTATAACGATTTTTGAACTGCGCAGCGCATCCGTCGCTAAACACGCATATTCCTTCAAAACTTAATGCTTTCAGTTTTAGAAATTCTATGATTTTCTTTAAAAAAACATTGACGGCGTATCTATCATGTGAAAGATAGTTGGAAACGATAGCAAAAGAAAGTATTTTGTTTGGACCCCAAACAACGGCAGTATAGATTGTTACTTGGCTATGCGACCAATGCGCACTTTGAATTTCATCTTGTGCCGTAATTGAAAAGTTTTCCGCAAAGTCCATTTGCAATATGATTTCTTTTTCGCCAACGGTGCTTCTTTTCAAATCAAAATACTTTTGTTGGCTGTTTTTGATAAATGTGTGTTTTTTGAAAAAAGGCAGTTGATTTTCTAAGGTGGAAATAATCATTTCAATGGACTTTTCAAGACTTATTATTTCTACTTTTCCGTTGATAGTTGCCCACTGTTTAAAAATTAATTCCAGAGACTCGTCATATTTCAGAGGTAGAATTGAATATTTTAAGTCAGTCTTTACAATTCTGACAAATCCCCATCATACAATCTTCACTTTCTAAGTAGCAAACGATTTCTTGAAGAAGCTCTCTGTGTGTTTTTGGGAACTTTACATGTTTGTGCAATATATCAATTAAATAAAAGACATTGGCATGATACCTGCAGACACATACGTCATGAGGCATATCTGACATAAGCATGACAAATTTAGGTCTAAGTTCATAAAATTTACTAATTTTTATCTTTTCCTCCGGATTTTCTTCTTTAAAAATGCTAAACGCTTCTGAAACTGTATACATCATATGTCTTTTTTGTGCGTACTCTGTTCCATTTTCAGATTTTATTTTAATTTTATCCTTAACATTTGGCGAAACCCTGCTTATATCTTCTCTACAAAAAAAAATTTCAACTTTTCTTATTGTTTCCGTATTCAGCTGGTTATACATATTATTTGTTGTGACAGACTTAAAAAACTCTGGATTATTTTGACCAATATCGAAACTTATGGTTAAATTCTTATCAATCGTTTTCAAAACCCTTTTCATGATCTCTATTTTCTTCTCTTTGTGTTCTGGAAGGACATTTTTGATTTTTTTCAAATCTTTCCCAATAGTTTGAGGGGTCTTATAGGCACTATTCTCTTTTTTATCCAACCTTTGAGCATATTTTTTTGCACGGTATTTTCTTTTTCTTTCTCGTTCCTGTTTTCTTTTCAACTCTAACAAATCTGTCGAGGACAAAATCTTTTGTTTCATTTTGGTTCGGTATTTTTTGCAACATTCAACATGTCGTTTACGGTATATCGACTTAAGGTTTTCATTTGCATTTATTTTCTCTCTATACTTTTTAACATACTCTTTCACTTTCATTTTCCTCTTATCATTTTGTATTTTCGGCATCCTAAAAATGGATAATTTCCAATAATTTCTTTCTTTTTTGCAACTCAAAAAAACACAACTAAACCTAACCTTTAGTAGTTTGCAAAGTATTTTTAAAAAATTAAAAAAAATATATTATAAAAAATTACCTAAATACTTAATTAGACTACAAATAATTTGATGCTACTAATATACTAGCATTTTTATTAAAATCTCAATTTTTTTTTGAAAACGCTTTTGTAAGTGTTAAAAATAAAAATTAAATATTTCTAGACCATTAGCTTACTCGCGGGACAAATAAAGAAAATATATTAAAAATATATTTTAGGCGTATTAATATTTATCTATCGTGCTATTATAACGAGCAAATCAAAGGTTAAGAAATCTTATGTTTTTATCTAGAGTTTTTGTTACGGTCTAGTTAAAAACTAAAAAAATATTGAATTGTGCTTTCTCGCGGGAAAAAATTTTGCAATATAAATAAGCAATTTTTAACCAAGTTCTACTTACTTTTTGCACACAAATAATTCACTCTTTAAAAGTTTGACAGCACAACATTTTTTGACGGGCACCAAGTTTGCAAGCACTTGCTTTGTTTCTCCATAGCGACCAGAGATAAACAATGCTTTTTATGTAGTTTGACGCGGGAACGGATTCCTGCAGTTTTTCGTAACATTTTTAAGTTACTAGGTAAAATTGGAAATATTTATCTAATATTTCATAAACTTTAACTCAATTTTAAACGATTATTAAGTTTTTTTTTTTAAATTTTCGATAATTGAATTTTACTAAAAAGTAAGCATCGATCATGGAATTGCCCATAATTAAACTGTAGCACTATAATTTCTTAACATTTTGTTTTTTGATTTACGTCTCTATCTATTTTTTTTTAAATGAGATATACGGTTAAAGACGAAATAACTCCAGTTTAATGCTAAATGAAAGCACCTAACATAGGTAGGTCATGGTAGGTCAGAAACTGTAATTTTCATTTAAGTTCTGCATAAAGCTATTGAAATGGAGCGCCAAGTGAGAAATTTGAATCGTAATGAATGTGTAAGAATTATTGGCCAAGCAAGGATTAAGCTACCGTGCTGTAGCTCATACCTCAATATCCCTTGTTATTCGACGTTTTGAAGAAACCAACGATCATAACAGACGTGATGGACAGGGAAGGCATTGAATGACAACAGCCGTACATGATCTTTTCCTTTATTTGTCAAAATGACAAAAAACCAACGTCAAAGATAAAATAACGCCGATCCATCAATATTATTTAACGGTGCGCGCCTGCCTTAATCTATTATCAACTGGCAGAAACAAAAATTACTAAGTAAATGGATTTAATTTCATAATTTTGTAAAAAAAACGTTTAAAAACAGGGAATTTGTTACAGTTCTTTGTAAACAATACCCAAATGAACAAAAAAAATTGTAATACTTTAAAATTACTTCTTAAAAAGCAATTTTAAAGACAGTAACTTTAAAGTTGGTAATGGTGACGTCATTACACTACATTGATGAGGTGCACCCATACAGATTTGGCCGCGCCTATATTATATTATTTTTTTACATAGGTGACATACCTGCTCAACAATGTTTCTGAAATCCTGCACGTGTTGCATCACGTCCTTGGCAACCACTTTGGGCCATCCTTTTTGATTTCCAGGATGCGATAAAATGGGAGCGAAAACTCCTTCCAGCAGTACGGCTAACTCGTCGATCGGTTTTCCGGCCATGTCGCCGAACGCAACCACATCTCGGAAATTTTCCATCGTCAATACTTCGGCCTTTTTTCGTATAAAGTACGAGTACTTCTGTTTTATCTGCGGGTTAAATGTCGTGTACGGAGTCAGAAGGCCGGACCCCGGTATCGTTAGTAACAGCATCTTTTGGTCCGGTTTGTCCAGAAAATTCATTATGATTTTCTGGAAATAAGTCGTGTGTAACGATTTTTCAACAATTAAATAATGAAAAATTAGAAGGTTAAAAAAATATTCAATTAATACAAACAATACTTTATTTTATTTTAAAGCACCGTATAATTAGAGCAATAGGAGAAATAAATACTTCTTATTAAAATAAAATATTCCCATTTTTATAAACAAGTTTAAGTGCTCCATAAACATAAATGAAAAAAACGGTAAACTAAAAAGTTTGTTTAAAAAGCTTTGCAATTTGAAACATTGATCGTGTTTGAAAGTGTCGAGGAAATTATATTGGAGGCAAACTCGAGCAATTCGCGGCCTTTGAATTGTCGGAAAACACGCGATTTCACAGTAAAATTAATACGTTTAACATCTTTTATGCCGAGCAAGGTGTTAAGGTACCCGACAAATTGTTCCCAGGTGCTTAAATTAGAGTCTTCAAGACCAACATTATACAGTGTGTCCCTGGATGGAGTTACCTATAGGAAAAACTTTTTTATTATGCATTTTACGGAAAAAAGTCATTTTTCATAAAAAGTCCTGCTTGTTTAAAAAATGAGATTGCGATTTAAAAAAAAACGTTTCATTGTATTCTCATGAGAAAAGTACCTTTCTTTATTACTTTATACAAAAATTTTATAAGGGAAAGTCGTTGGCAATTTAATTTTGAATATAAATAAATGAAAAATACATTTTTCTACTACCTTACTTAATTTTGCACCCCCGAGCGAGGGAGGAAAATGCCTCTTTTCCTCCCCGGGAGGAAAAAAAATTCCTCCCTCTTTTTTTTAACAATTTTACATTAGCAAGAGTTTTTGTACCTTGTCTCGCCCTATTTGATTTTGTAGGAAAAAGATTTACTCCGCGCTAGTCCAACCATTCTTTTAACAAACTATATTCATTTTCATATCGCTCTTTCGATTTTTAAGGAAGGAAATTAATTGCAACTATTCTTGCCTCTTTAGCAAGATCTTGCGGAAGGTCTTCTTCGCTAGAACTCATTTTCAAAACGTAGGAAGAATTTCAAATTTATGATAAACATTTTGACAGCTTATAAAAACTGTTATGTTTGTATTACCAAAAATACCATAGCAACAAAGCGTTGTCAACATAACGACGGCGAAGCAACACCTACTTAATAGTTTGTCATAATTTTATAGCCCCATACCGGGTTAGTAAAAGGAACCAGAACGCTTAAAATGTCTTAAAACCGTTAAAAGGTAATAGAAAAAACTATTTACATTAGACTGGGCCAAAAAAATCGACTATTTTTTTTTTGGAAAGTATATCGAAAATATTGTTTGGGGTAAAAAAAAAATTATGGTGAAAGTTTGAGTCCATAATATTAATATTAAGAGGTCTATCATCGCAATTTTAGATTTTTTTTTCCTGAGCGAGTTTTTGTCTCAGAACTCCCAAATCATTGAGTTTAACAAAATTGACTTAGGAATATTTTTTGAAGAAAATTGAATGTTTTACAAAAAAGGTTTAATTGGAATTTCCCGTCAGATGAACCCTTTTCTTACAATCATGACTTAAAAATTGGTATAGTTTTACAATTTGATCTTTTAACTTTGGACTTTTGTAATTCAAGTAAAAATCAGTACCTAACCTGAAAAAAAACGATAAATATTCTTATGATAAATCAAATGCTCTACAAAAAAAGTCTTTTATCATTTTTGGCTAAATTCACTCCATCAAAAGTTATTCAAGGTTAAATTTGAAGTCAAAACGAAATTTTAACCTTGAATAACTTTTGATTGAGTGAATTTAGCCAAAAATTTTAAGAGGCTTTTTTTGTAAAGCATTTGATTTCCCATAAGAATATTTATCAGTTTTTATGGGTACTGATTTTTACATGAATTACAAAATTCCAATTTAAAAGATCAAAATGTAAAACTATACCAATTTTTAAGGCATGATTTTAAGGAAACGGTTCATCTGAGGGAAAATTTCACTTTAACCTTTTTTGTAGAGCAATTAATTTTGTTAAACTCAATGGTTTGGGAGTTGTGAGCCTAAAACTTGCTGAGGAAAATAAATTAAAATTGCGATGATAGACCTCTTAATATTAATATTATGGACTCAAACTTTCACAATAATTTTTTTTGTCACCCCAAAACCATATTTTCGATATTCTTTTCAAAAAAAAAATAGTTGATTTTTTTGGCCCAGTCTAATATACATACCTCAGGAGGAAAATGCGTTTCCTTCCTTGAATATTTAATGCCCTTCGCTTCGCGTCGGGCATCAAACTATTCGAGGGGGGGAAAGCACTATTTTCCTCGCATGGTATGTAAATAGCTATTATTTTGTAAAAAATTATTTTTGAATAATTTATCTCGTTTTCAGAGGTTTAGATTCGTTTCCTTGAAAATAAATAAAATTAAATAATTTGAGTTTTATGTCATGCTTTCTAAGAAAGAGAGAATTTATTTGATAAATTGTTATGGGATTGTAACTGTATCCTATGCTTATGTTTTTCAACAAAAATATCTGAATACAGCAGTACCCCGTCAGACTTTGAAAAAATTGGTGAAAGAATTTGACGAGACCGGCTCTGTTTTGGATAAAAAGAAGAAAAAAAAGAATAATGTTGAAGACGATACAGCAACAATTTTGGCAATGCAATTCCTTAAAAAGATCCCTTGATGTCTCTTCGCAAACGTGCTCAAGATTTAGATATTAGTAAAAGCCAAATTCAGCTTATTTATAAAGAGAACAAAATTTATCCGTATAAACCAAAATGTACGCATACACTGGAAGATGGCGATGAAGCGAAGCGATTGAACTTTTGTTTATGGATTGGAGAGAAGTACACGGAGGATTAAAATGTTTTTTTTACGGAAGAATCAACTTTTGTACCAACGGGCATGTTTCATCTCAAAATAGTCGTTTCTGGGCCGATGCACATAGGTAGAATTCGGTCTATTCTCTAACTTTTCCTTTAAATTTTAAAGCCCTTTTAAATTTTTAATTTTAAAGGCCGGCTAAAATAAATAAAGGAAACTGCTATTCTGTAAGCACTTATTTTAGAGGTCCTTTAAAAAATTAAATTTTAAAGGAATCCTTTAAAACTTAAAGCCAGACATTTGGCAGCACAGCGTTTAAAGTGATATCACTATCAAATATTTGATCTATTTGTAGTTCAACTGTCAACGTTTTGGCAGATTCTGCGCATTTTCTCTTATGATTTTTAATTTAAAATCACAATTGTGTTTGCTTTATTATTGTGTTTTTAATCATTGCGATCATTTTTCATATCCTCTGTGTTTATCTCTAAACAATTAAAATGAGTCGGGCAGCACGTACCACGAAAAAACAAAAAGAGTTTTTAATTAACTTTTTGGAAGAAAACAGAATTCTCCTGGGTGGAAAATTTAACCCTATGCATTTACCAAGAGTAAATAAAACATGGGAAAACCTCACTTACCACTTAAATAATATAGGGCCAACAAAAACCATAAGGCAATGGAAAGATGTAAGTATTATAAATTTATAATTATACAGTTGATATACAATTGAATCGTTTATTGTTAAAACAAGCCTGACTTTTTGCAAACTTTCAGTTTTTCATATTCTAGCTTAAATTGACATTCTTTATACCTAATTTATATTAATGAATAGGTTTAAAGAATTAATTTAAGCTAAATATAACTTTCTTAAAATTTACTTAACTTGTTTTACCAATAAACAATTTAATTTATCTACTATCTAATATTTTTAGAGCATTAGTGAAATGAAAACCTCAGTAAGACGGCGATCCAGAGACATTAGATTTGGGCAAACTGGAACTGGAGATCAAACGTTTTTTTCTGCTGTAGGAAAGGATTTAAAAAATCGGCTGATGGTTGGATTGTTTAAAGGGAATATTTACTAGACCTTCACCAACAACATCAAAAAACGCCATTTTTATATCCTTTAAAAAAATAGAGTGACATTTTATCACCCCTTTAAAATAATTGTTTTTATTTCCACCTTCTTAGTAAATGACACTTTATAGGTTAATTTTGTTGTTTTTGTATCCAAGTAAACGATACATTATGAGAACAGACCTGTAAGTGCTTGTTCACAATAGACGTAACCATAAAAAAAACATAAGAAATACATAAAAAAAATACATAATGCCGGTTTTCCACCAAACGGACAAAACAAAAACAAAACACAAACTCGTGTCGAATAAAACAAAACTGCAACTTTTTGCAAACTTTTTCAAGACTGGCGTGTTTTGCGACAGTTTGAGTTTTGTTTTTCGAGTCCCGCTCGAAAGCGGTAACATCAAAAGGTTTCGACGTGTTTTGAAACTCGAGTCTGTTTAGTGGAAACGGTCGTGTTGTGTTTTTTGTTTTCGACTTTTATTTTATTTTGTTAGTCGGGATACGAATTTCATACTAAATTGGTAGGTAAGTAAGAAACATATTTTTTCCAAGTGTATAATAATATTCATATTATATTCCTCATAAGTATATATAGAAATACTACAATTTAGTTACGAATAGATACGAATTTCATACTAAATTGGTAGGTAAGTAAGAAACATATTTTTTCCAAGTGTATAATAATATTCATATTATATTCCTCATAAGTCTATATAGAAATACTACAATTTAGTTACGAATAGATACGAATTTCATACTAAATTGGTAGGTAAGTAAGAAACATATTTTTTCCAAGTGTATAATAATATTCATATTCTATTCCTCATAAGTCTATATAGAAATACTAAAATGTAGTTTTTTAAAATTTTGTAACCTCATTTTTAGGTTAGGTTTAACTGTCAGACGACAAAATGTCACCATTATTGTTCGGCAGTCAATAATAATTTAACTTTTGAACTAGTAGTCACTACATTATTGTACTAGTTCAAAAGTCAAATTATTATTGACCGCCGAACAATAATGGCACACAACCTACTGCCTCGGCAGTAAAATGTCATGGATAAGTTTAATAGATACACATATATATACAGGGTGTTTCATAATATATGCGCAGGACTTCAG